TGAATGCCTTCCACATCCCCCTCCAGGCGCTGTATAATCCTCCGGGTTTAGCGCTTCCCTCTTGATTATAATAATAATAATTTGCTGAAATACATTCTGCTTTGATCTAAATAGCAGAGGATGAAGACCAGACAGCAACTACAAGAAGCGAAGCAGCCAGCTTAGCATCAAAATTGGAAGATTTTGAATTGGCCTTACTCTGTGTGCTTTGGGACTGTATACTGGAACGGTTAAATGCCACAAGACACTTCAGAAAATTGAAATTGAAATGGCTACTTGTGCTAACCTCTATGCAGGCTTAGTGGAATTTGTAAGCTCACTTCGCAATGATGAAGCTTTTGAAATGTTTGAAATGTTTGAAGAGAAAGCTAAACTGCTGGTGAAAGACTACAGTTACCGGGCTGATCATCAGCGGTCAAGGAAGAGGAAACGCAATTTTGAAGAGCCAGACAATGAAATTGTGTTGCTACCAAGGCGAAATGTAGACACTACATACTTCGTATTCTGGATTCTGATTACGTTTAGTGAAAAGAAAAGAAATCTACCAGTTCTAAATGAAAAGTTTGGATTTCTGTTAAAATTACTACTTTTCCGGCGAATTGGGGAAAAGCGCATTAAAGTTGCAAAAACACCTTTCAGCAGTTTTTCAAGAAAAATTTGTTAAAAAAAAGTTCATTTTTTTGGTATTGAATAATTAAAGCTCCACCTGAAAAATGTGCGCCCTCAGTGTTTTAAAAACATTTAAGAAATGCAGGTATTCAAAACCCTTCCCTAATTTTTAAATTTAGGTATGCCTTTACCAACCCCCCAGCAAAACTGTGGGGAAAACTTTCATTTCTGTTTAAAAAGATGAAAAACCAGCTCCGTTCAAAAGACCAAGAAAAAGTGAACCTACCCTTGTTGGACCTAAGAAGTGTTTGTATAAGAGGGGCACCCCTCAACTACCTAAGTATCCTCAGCAAAGAACCCAAATATGTTAGAAAAATGGGGCAAGTCTTCCGAAAACCCAATTACAGTTGGTGTCCCACGGGGGAAGTTCCTTGGCCCTCTTCTCTTTCTCCTATACATAAAGCCCTCCCAAAAGCTTGAAATTTTTACTCAAACCCACACTATTTGCAGATACACTAATACGTCTTCTCTCACCCGACCCCCGTCACCTAGCAATACTGTAAATACCAAATTAAGAAAATATCTACCTGGATGGGACTAAAAACTTACAAAAACTTGACAAAACCTACTTCATTCAGTTTGGGAACAGAGTCAGTGTCCTCTTAACATAAGATAAACGGTCACCTTCACAAAGCTAAAGAGGGAAAATTCTTAGGGAATCCACCTTATAATAGACTCAAATTTCATACACATATACAACAAAAATTTTTAAAAAATTTCCCAAAACTGTAGGCATACTATCGAAGATACGGTACATGCTCCCCAGTCAGCCCTCCCGGCCCCCATATCACTCTCTAATTTACCCCTATCCACCCAAAGGGAATTTGTGATGGGGCTCAACAACAATTAAAAAAACCCGACCATTAATTTTCCCCAACAAAGGGGCAGTTGAATGATAAAAAATTTTTACTACAGGCACACACACCCCCAATATTCAAAAAACTCAACCCATCACCCTACAAATTCAAATTCAAAGTTTATTTTCCCATAAGGATTAAATGCTGAGTTTACAGAATTTTGGGTTTTTGTATTGTTTACATGTAGTAAAATAATAATTACAGAGTGTACCACTTGAACACCTAGCATGGCTAGGCATTTTCGGGCAGACTTAAATTAAATCTTAAGTTTAAAAATTACAAAATTATGAGGTAAGTTGGTATTATGGCTAAGTGACTAAATACTAGTTTGTGAGTTTAGCAATGTGAATGCTTTTGTTTTGGCACTATACATAGTTTCAGTATTGGAGTATCACAGGCCAACTTATGACTAGTTAAGATTCATTATTTTGAGATTGAGATTGATATTTCTGTTTATGGTGAAATAGGCGAGTGTAAGTGTTAACACCAGTGGTATTCGTGTAATTAGTTTGACAGGGTGTGTCAGGGAGATAAGGTGTTTTCTGATGGTAGTTTTGAAGGTGATGAATGTGTCTGCAGTTTTAGAATTTTCAGGTAGGTGTGTTCCAGATTTTAGGGCCTTTGACATACATTGAATTTTTGTAAAGGTTTAGTCACGAGGGAGCATTCACCAAATTCAACTTCAATAACAAAAACATAAAGTGGGACCAAGTAAACCAAGTCCTAACCGATATAAGCTGGGAAGATATACTAAGCAACACAGACCCCAACTTATGCCTAGAACAGATTAACTCGGTGGCACTCGATGTATGCACAAGGCTTATTCCTCTAAGAAAAAGGAGGAGTAGATGTAAAACAGAAAGAGACAGGCGCTCCCTTTACAGGCGACGGAAAAGAATAACAGAGCGGCTAAAAGAGGTCAATATATCTGAAATGCTAGGGAGACACTGGTCAGAGAAATAGCAAAGCATCGAACTTAAGCTAAAAGAATCCTTTAGGAGTCAGGAATTGCGGGAAGAACTAAAAGCCATAAATGAAATCGAAAGAAACCCGAAGTATTTCTTCTCCTATGCCAAATCAAAATCGAAAACAACGTCCAGTATTGGGCCCTACTTAAACAAGATGGGTCCTACACAGATGACAGCAAGGAAATGAGTGAGCTACTCAAGTCCCAATATGACTCAGTTTTTAGCAAGCCGCTAACCAGACTGAGAGTCGAAGATCAAAATGAATTTTTTTATGAGAGAGCCACAAAATTAGATTAACACAAGCCTATCTGATGTTATCCTGACGCCAAATGACTTCGAACAGGCGATAAATGACATGCCCATGCACTCTGCCCCAGGGCCAGACTCATGGAACTCAGTGTTCATCAAGAACTGCAAGAAGCCCCTATCACGAGCCTTTACCATCCTATGGAGAGGGAGCATGGACACGGGGGTCGTCCCCAGTTACTAAAAAAACAACAGACATAGCCCCACTCCACAAGGGGCAGTAAAAGCAACAGCAAAGAACTACAGACCGATAGCACTAACATCCCATATCATAAAAATCTTTGAAAGGGTCCTAAGAAGCAAGTTTCACCACCCATCTAGAAACCCATCAGTTACACAACCCAGGCAACATGGGTTTAGAACAGGTCCCCCTGTCTGTCTCAACTATTGGATCACTACGACAAGGTCCTAGATGCACTAGAAGACAAAAAGATGTAGATGTAATATATACAGACTTTGCAAAAGCCTTCGACAAGTGTGACCATGGCGTAATTTAGCGCACAAAATGCGTGCTAAAGGAAAACAGGAAAAGTCGGTCGATGGATCTATAATTTCCTCACTAACAGAACACAGAGAGTAGTAGTCAACAGAGTAAAGTCTGAGGCAGCTACAGTGAGAAGCTCTGTTCCCAAGGCACAGTACTCGCTCCCATCTTTTTTCCCTCGTCCTCATATCTGACTTTAGACAAGGATGTCAGCCACAGCACCGTGTCTTCCTTTCCAGATGACACCCGAATCTGCATGACTGTATCTTCCATTACAGACACTGCAAGGCTCCAGGCGGACATCAACGAAATCTTTCAGGGGGCTGCAGAAAACCAATATGAAGTTCAACGATGAGAAATTTCAATTACTCAGATATGGTAAACACGAGGAAATTAAATCTTCATCAGAGTATAAAACAAATTCCCCCGGGCCCCAAAATAGAGCGAAACACCAACGTCAAAGACCTGGGAGTGATCTGTCGGAGGATCTTACCTTCAAGGACCATAACATTGTATCAATACATCTGCTAGAAAAATGACAGGATGGATAAAAGAGAACCTTCAAAACTAGGGAGGCCAAGCCCATGATGACACTCTTCAGGTCACTTGTTCTATCTAGGCTGGAATATGCAGCACACTAACAGCACCTTTCAAGGCAGGTGAAATTGCTGACCTAGAAAATGTACAGAGAACCTTCATGGCGCGCATAACGGAGATAAAACACCTCAATTACTGGGAGCGCTTGAGGTTCCTAAACCTGTATTCCCTGGAAAAACAGGCGGGAGAGTACATGATTTTATACACCTGGAAAATCCTAGAGGGCTAGTAACCCGAACTTGCACATGAAAATCACTCACAACAAAAGCAAAAGACGAAAACCAGCAAAGGTCTACAGAGAGATCTGGCTCAAGCTAGCATAAAAAGTTGATTTTTCAACTGTTCGACAAAGGATCCTTGAAGTGTTGACAGAACTGCCAGAAGGTCGGTAAACAATTATTGATTGCTGCTATGAAGAAAAAGTGGCTGTGATGGGCGCTGTTCATAAGGGATGGACGACAGATGAATGGATAAAAGTTATATTTTCAGGTGAGGCGCATTTTCAAGTACGTACATGGGTACAGATCAGTGGTAGCGAGTCGGAGCAAAGGCAAACCTCTTCGGTTTGGACACATTCAACAAGCGCAAAAACACCCATCTAAGATGTTTTAGGATAGTTTTACTGCTAAAGGTCCTGAATGGCTTGTTATTGTTTAGGGAACGTTGAAGAGTAACAAATACAAGGCAGTCCTAGCAACTTATTTGCTTCCCATTGTGGATAGAGGCTTTCCTGTTGGAGAATGCATTTTCCAGCAGGGTCTTGGTCCATTCCATACTTCCAGAAAAATGCTTATATTCTTCGAAGTGAGTGGGCTAAGTGTTCTGAATTGGCCAGGAAACTCTCCTAACCTCAACCCAACTAAGAATCTAAGGGCAAGAACCAAATGCAGGATCGCGAAATAGGACTGTTCAGCTGTGGAGAAGCTGGTTGCTGCTGTTATTAGGACCTAGTACCAAGACGAAGGACTTGCCAAAATGTTTTCAACATTGATTGATCCTATGCTAAAGCGTTGTAGCAATGCTTATAAAGGCAAAGAATAGTCATATCTTTCATTAAATCAATTATGTCATATAATTTTTCACAAACCTTCAACAACAAATTTAATACTCTCTCTCTCATTCCAAGTGTTGACTTCCTTCTTTCCAACTATATATTTGGCTGCTGTTTCTCTAATTCTTTGTCATTCAATATATTTTACATGTAAAAGTTTCAGTAACCTGGAGAGATTCACAGTAATCAGGTTTATAATTGTCAGGAGTGAACTTCGAGTTTTACCCTGACGGAACGAGGCTGGTGGTGGTGGATCCCAACCCTCACTTCAAGGCTTACTATGACAACAACAGGAAGAAGTTCCCCAACATACACTCTGAGGAATTTATAATCACAACAGGTAACACCATAATGCTGTCTCTACATCTCTCTGATATCTCCTCTTTAAATAATAATAATAACTTTCTATTGATCAGGCCCTACATCTGACTTTCTCTTCTCTCTCACTCGAGACTTCCTAAAGCATTGCCCAAGACAGCTGTCTTTTCTAACTTATGGCTTAACTCTGAATAACTCTACTAATATTTGTTTAATACACTTACCAGTACCCACCAAGGTAAAGTGATACAAAGAAAATTTCATTCACCATTACTCAATCCTATGCGGTCTTTCAGAAAATCATTCACCATTACTCACTCCTGTGCGGTTTTCAAAGTGATCCAGAGCAACGCTACATTCCTACACAGTACAAACACCATACTTCTATTGACACAGCTCTTAAACTTAGTTATCTGGCTCTCCTGAATTCCTTCATAAATGTTATACTTCGCTGACTAATTTGTTTTTGTTTAATGTGTAGTAGTGTATATTCCTTCTCTTGTTATGAGTGCTGAGTGACCACGTGGTCAAGTGATTAGTAAATATCAACGATACTACTACATTGCTACTTTTACTACTACTGCTACCTTGCTGATGCTTCAGCAACACTTCAAATCCACCAACAAAACATGTCTTCCACTCATTCCAATCTCACATGTTCACTACACACCCCTACTGAATGTTCTCTCATTAGTTTCCTAGGATGCTCCCGTACCTCTCTTCCAGACTTATATACCCTCATAGCGGTTTTCCAAAAATGTGGTACATCTCATTACCAGGTCAACCAGGTTAGGAAGCCACTGACTTGCCCTGCTAGATAAGTGGTTTTCAACTCGTTTCAGCCCATGGACCATCAACCCAATTATAAAAATATCGTGGATCATTTCATTTGTTGAGTAATGATATATGTATAAAGGAAAAGCCAAGACAACAAACAATTTGATTTGGAACATATTTCTTATAAACAGAAATTCGAGTTGTATAAAATAATAGATATCTAACATTTTGATCTGAAATATATTTCATACAAACATAATTTCCTGGAAATAAACGAATACATATCTAATATTTTGCTGTGAAATTTCTAACAAACATAATTTTTTAAATTATGAAGTATACAGCCAGTATTTTTCTTTGAAATATAATTTCACTTTTAATGCAACCAGACTTTTGGATTCTCTTCTCACTGACATGCTTTTCAATGTTAGGAGTGGTACTTGGTAATGCACAACGAATATCACTTTCAACTGCAAGCCGATTCCTCAGGACTTAATGTGCAACAAACATGAAAATCCACTCTCACACATGTAAGTTGATGCAAATGGCAAAAGACATCTGACTGCATGTGTTGCCAGATTTGGGTAAATAACAATGATACTGGCCCAAAATTTTTCCATGGTAGACCGCTGGTACACATCTTTAGCTGCCAAATCATTTTTCAGGTCCAAGAACTCCTGCATAGCCTCTGGAACACCATGAACATCTGTTACAAATGGATTCCTGATGAAAGAAAGCTCATCCCTTGTCATGTCCACCTCCGGAAAGTATCGCCGAAATTCATCCTGCAGCTTTTGTAAGTGCTCGAGAATATGCACTGAATGGGTTCCTTTTCCCCTAGCATGGCATCCACACACGGAAATTGAACTAAATTTTTACCTTCGACTCTTCTGATCCAGAGTTCTAATTTCTCAAGAAAAGCCTTGGTGATTCCTTGGTGAGAGAACAGATTTGCTCCTTTCCCTTGCAGCTGAAGATTCAGTTTGCTCAAAGATACCAAAAATATCGACAAAGTATGCTAGTTCTAATTCTGACAGTTCTAGCATATTTATTTGTAAAACATTTTTTTCCCTTGAGACTGGAGAAATACAATAATTTTTTCTCTCAGTTCAAAAATTCTGTTGACTACATTCCCTGCTAACCACCGTACAGAAGTGTAGAACAGCAACACCTCAAAGTCGGAACCCATGTCCTGGCATAATTTTCTGAACAGTCTGATGTTCACTGCTGACGATTTGATGTAATTAACCACCTTCACCAATCCTTTGAAAATGGTGATCAGGTAGTGTTTTTTTATGCCAGTGCCTCTCTGTGAATGAAACAGTGAACTCCGGTTTACCAATGGAGCACGCTGTTTTCACCAATGCTTGAAAGCCTGATATCTTGAGCCTAGCATCGCAGGTGCGCCATCAGTGGTAACACCCACCAAATTTACCCAGTCCAGACCATTTACTTTAAAGAAATTGTTAATAATTTCTAACACATCCTGAGCCCTTGTGGTGGTATCAAGTCTTACAAAGAGAAAACTCGTCTTCGAAGTCTCCCTTAGCCACGTATCATGCAAATACCAAAAGCTGAGAAGACAGTGAGACATCACTTGATTCATCCAACTGTATGGCAAACATTGGAGATTTCTTTATTTCATTCACAACTTGTTCACTGATGTTTTGTGAGATCTCATTTATCCGTCTCAACACTGTGTCATTAGAAACTGATACATCATTCAGCTTCTGTGCTGCATCTCGCCGACAAGCCTCGCCATTTTTTTGCACAGGGTAGCACAAGTTTCTTTACAATCATATGAGGTTTCTGGCCTGTGCGACTTTGTATGTGATAATGTAGGAAGCATGCACTGCATTGATGGTTTTTTCAAAGAATGTACCTGTCCCCCGTCAAGGTGCTGCCGCTTGAAAAGTTTCACGAACAGCTAAATCAACAAACGAAGAGCAGCAGCTAATTGACAGGGAAAAATTTTTACATATTCTAATTTCCTCCCATTTCCCTTTTACTTTTCTTTTATGAAAACCCAAA